AAAAAGCAACTTAGGTAAGGTCACACAGCTAGTACAAGCCAAAGCCAGGCCTCACCACTTTCTGCTTGACTGCAAAGCCCATTCTCTTAAACTGCAATGCAATCCACACTTGTGATGGATCCCTAGGGTTTAAAATTCTAGACACTTTGACTAAAACGTTTCTGAAGGCATTCTAGTAACTGGATTAAATGGATCCCTTAAAGTCCCACAGAAGTGCATCTATTCATTCAGTAGCAGACATTGAGGACTAAGAAGGCACTAAGCTTACAGCTAGGGACAAAAAGAGAAGATTCAATCCCTACCATCAGTGGGTAGCAGCCATGTTCTAAATTAATGAGCTATATTAAAACAAGTCAGACAAACCTGAGTAGCTCTGTGTTTCAGCCGTTTGCAGAAAGCCCTCACATCAAATTCTGACGATTTTTCTGTAGATGGAAAAGATCCCAGAACAAACACTTAGGTGACAACAAACTCTTGAGTGCATGGGAACATTTCTTGCCAAATTACTATAAAATAAAGGGAATTAAGCAAAGAACTCCGAAGCAACAACAGAAACAAACAACTTTAAATATTCAAGCCTAGAAAACAGGTATTACACTTCGCTAGAGAGAATCAATGTGGGTTACAATTAAGAAGGGAGATGCTGAGTTCCTCTCTATGCAGTGCATGATTATATTATAATTTCAACAGCTTTGATCAGAGCATGTGCTACAGCAAAGCAATTACCTGCAAAAACTTTCCTTTTCTTTACCGGCTGGCCGAGATCCACACTATCCTCTATGTTGGTCTTCATTTGTTTAGCTTTTTTGGTAATTCTAAGCAAGGCTTCTTCACTGGACATCTGGTGCTGCTCTTTTGTTAAAAACAGTTTATTTAGCAACCTAGTTACTCCTTTAGTTACAAAAGCTGTAGGCATTTTTTTCTTAAAGACCTCAAAATAGGGCTGTCCTAGAAATTCAACAATATCAGAGGGAAAGGTGAAAGCTTTAAAGTAAGGCATTGGTTGAATCCTGGAGATCTCTTGTAGCAATCCAAACAATGGTTCATATAAAGAAATCAGCCTTTTTAAAACACCTTTATAGAGAACCCTAGAGAAAGAAACAGAAGTTCATGAATTAGCCAGTTAATTACAATTTACAAACTGCATATTAACAACAACAAATTAAAAGCTGAAAATAAATGCCTACCAAGCTCCTCCACTGTAGATAAGAAACGCTACAGTACGAATCTGCAAACAGCCCAGTTAGTCCAGCCCAGATAGAAAAATCCAAGTATAAAACGTTACTCAAAAACAAATAAAGCACTACCCAGAGAGATGGCTCAAAGGATGCACATCAAAATCTTAAGTGTAGTTACATTATTTCTGAGTGGAGAGATTTTCGGCAAATTTCAGGTTCTTCGCATTATTCTTACTGTTTGAATTCTTATAATAAGCATGTATTACGGTTGTAATCAGCAAAAATTAAAGCTATTTTCGTTACAGAAAAGAAAGAATAAAGGTTTGACATTTTAAAATGATAGGATCAGGTAACACTGTTAACTTTGATTAAAGATAAACAGAATCCAAAGTAATCTGATTGGAAATAGTACTTGAGACATCCAGATTAAGTAAGACATGAAAGCAAGGTTTTCAATCTCCAAAGACAAAAAAATTTTCTCCTATTTTTTTTCCTAGTTTTCTTACATTTAAATCAGAGCTTACCATCCTAATTGTTTTAAATGGGCCCCAAAGATCTCCTTACAAATAAGGGCAGATTCTGAGTCCAATTATACATAAAATCAGTTTCACAATATATAATGAGGCATGCAAGAGAAGGTCTCTTTAGTTTTCAAGTATTACCAGTGTTTGTAATTGCATCAACTAAGCATGCATCAAAAAAGCAGTGCTGTTTCAGGTGGAAGAAACGATGCTACAGCACATACAGAATGTCAAAAATTGTATTTCTCATTGCCATTAAAAATTAGAAATTAGTGGCTGAAAAAACCAAGTGACACAGCCAGCCCAAGAACACCGTAAATGGTCCAGCTGCTGTATGATCACTGCCACTACATTTTATTATTCTAGATCCTAATCCTAGGAGCCCTGGTGGCACAGTGGTTTAAGAGCTCAGCCGCTCACCAGAAGGTCGGCAGTTCAAATCCACCAACCACTCCTTGGAAACCCTATGGGGCAGTTCTACTCTGTCCTGGAGGGTCGCTATGAAACGGAACCAACTCAACAGCACCTAACAACACAATCCTAGGAATTCGTTTAGTTGTTTAGTGTTGGGTTGATCCCAGGGCTTCAGATTCAAAGCCCAGTCCTTTGACATAACCCCAAATAAACTCTGATCAGATGAAGAAAGTCTGCACCTTCAGCATCCCACATGAAAAGTACTAATGAGAAGCCTAGACTGAGGTGGAGAGATGAAAAGGAATGAAGGATTTCAAAGGCATGTACATACCACAGCCTGCTCACCAGTCCAACCATCACGAGGTTTAAAATAATGAATTCTCGCAAACCAAGGTGCTTCACGGTCAAGCTGGAGAATCAAGTTAAGGTTAGAAAACAAAACCAAAATAATTTGAGTTGTGTAAGTTATGTTTATGAAAGAATAGATTTGAAGTAAAAGAATTTTCTTGAAGGTATTAAAGCCTTAAAACATGTTCTATTTAAGGGATGGAAACTTAAAAAGTAACACACACTCTACTAGAGCCCCATTATTACATTTCATTTCAAAGGTTTCGTTTCTAAGATTCAGCGTTTCTAACTCTTAACGCTCTTAGAATACTACATGCTAGCTAGAAACAGGCAGTCTGTGGCAATGGCCATTTATCAGGCGACTCCTGGGAAAAGGAGGCCAAGAAGCCACAGTTTAAGAATTCCCCACAGGTTACAGCTCCCACAGAGTCCTAGCTTTCAAACAGAAGTATTAATAAATAGATCCAAACAATTCCCAGATGGAAGAGGATATTTAGATTGATCAAGGATACAGAAATGTCTTGCAACAACAGTCCAACAAGCGGAGTAACAGCTTGCAGGCTCCCAAAACCTTCATTAACACCAATTCCACCACTGGTTCACTGGGAATGACACGTTCTTTGGTAGTTACAGGCTGGTTTTCACTTGACAAAAACAGAAAAGTATTTATGACTTTCATCTTTAAATATAAAGCATTTATACGGCACTTTTCAAATGCAGACTTGCTTTAAACACAGGGCAATGTGAGGTAGCTGTGCTCAGTAACAACCCACTGACATTTCATTACGACTCACTGGGGCCCAGAATTCAATGTCTCTCCAGTCTCTCCCACAGGCAAGCAGAAGGTATTTACTACCACACGTACCAAGTGGCCTTTATTAAAACAAGACTTGTACGGTGGAGGTATAATTGGTTCTATTCCAAAACCAAGGCAGAGAAAGTCCAAAGGGAGATCACAACAAGACATCAGGTTCCCAGCCCACCACACCACAAAGCAACTGGATCACTTACTTGGAAGAAAGCAACTCAAAAATATCTTGAATTGAACCTTCCAAATTCATGGTTTTCAAACGTTTTAAACATTGTTCAACCTGAAGGAGGAAGAGCAGCTCAAGTTCATGTGTACATAAGCAGACGGGGTCACTAATGTGACCAAGAAGCCAGAGATCCAGATTTTCAAAGTATGAAAATATACTGAATACCACAGACTACCTTTTGTTTTCCAAGAGTAAAGAAGTCCAAAGCCCTGGTCTGGAGGGCCCAATTTTGTCTTAAGCTCCAATTAGTTCATGAAGCCACTTTATACCACATCGTGTTGTACGCCCAATTACTCTAATATTCTACTGATCAGATTATATATCCCACAGTAAACCAACCACAATTTTGTTCTTTTTCATGGATTTAGGATTCTGACTGTGCTCAGGGAACTGTTTCATAATGTCCAACATTTTGTCTTGTTCAAATTACTCTGTCTCTGAACTAAGCAAAGGAACTATCTCTGTCTCTGAACTAAGCAAAGGAACTATAACTTATTTGCTGTATGCAATGAAAAGAATTTTTCTTTTCACAAAAAATTACTTAGCCGCTAGAAACAAGACTGGGAAAGAATAGATCCGAACATATTTTCTTACTAACAAAAAATCATTTTGTGAAATGCTATCAAAAAAAAAAGTCCACATGCAACTGTGCACTGAAGAAATATAAATCACAAATAATACTGAGATTTCCCAAAACGACAAAACAGTAACTGTCAATGTAGGTATTAAATGTAGAAATATAGAGCTTCCTCCTCACCTGCTTGAGGGCCAAATGGGGCTTGTGGCGGCCCATTCTGTTGTGATTGCTGTAAATGACTGCACACAACACATCTGTTTCTGCATCTAAGGCTTGGCTTTTCAGCAACAGTGTGACGCTGTGGCACTCTTTAATGACAGCTGCAGTGCAAAGGTCTAAAGCAGAGATTTTAGTAAGAGTATGTATTTCTACCTCAAGTATATTGTATAAAAAACACACCAAAAGAAGCATCTTTCCTTCTTATTTGTCTTAAAGGATGAGAACAAATGAACATAGTAAGCCTCGATTGTAAGAACATAATTATTCTAAGGAGGTGAGAAGTTGGAAAATGGTGACCGATGATAAAAAGTCCAGAAAATCATTAACACCTGTTAAACAAGAATGTATTTATTTTGTCGTAATTTTAATGATCTTTGATATGAATACTCTGCAGTCAGTTATTTGGCATGCAACTATACGGTAAGTACCCTGAAGGTGGGACTCAAGTTATAAACGTCTCTAAATCCCCCATTTTGCTATGCACATAAGCATGACAGAATAAACTCCTGCTCTTAAAAATCAATGCCAATTATTTGGGTACTACTTTAAGGTAGATAAGAATACACTCAGAAAAGAGAAACCACCATGGCAACTGAAAACTATTCTTGGATCGACACCTGACTCCATCAGTGGAGTTCACGTGTTCCCCGTGGCTCCAAGAGCAGCACTAGCACCCGAGGCACAAGGAACAAAAAGGCAGATTTCTACATACAACATGGAGAACTTTCTTATATTCCCAATCTTTTGAAGGCAGAATGGACTGCCTTAGGGATGGGGTAGCTGTTGTTAGGTACCATGAAGCTGATTCTGGCTCATAGGGACCCCATGAGGCAGAGCAGAGCTGCCCCACAGGGTTCCCTAGGCTGTAATCGTGTGCGTGCGTGCACGTGCGCGCTTTAGATGAAGGTTTACAGAGCAAATTAGTTTCCTATTAAACAATTAATACACATATTGTTTTGTGACACTGGTTGCCAACCCCACCGCATGTCAACACTCTCCCCTTCTTGGCCTTGGGTTTCCCGTTACCAGCTTTCCTGTCCCCTCCTGCCTTCTCATCCTTGCCCCTGGGCTGGTGTGCCCATTTAGTTTCATATACGTGGTTGAAATACGTGTATTATTGTTTGTTTTATGTTGTTGCTGTTGTTAGGTGCCATCAAGTCTGTTCCGACTCATAGCGACCCTATGTACAACAGAACAAAATGCTGCCCAGTCCTGCGCCATCTTCACAATCGTTGTGCTTGAGCCCGTGTTGCAGCCACTGTGTCAATCCATCTTGTGGAGGGTCTTCCTCTTTTTCGCTGACCCTCTACTTTACCAAACATGTCCCTCTTCAGGGACTGATCCCTCCTGATCACATGTCCAAAGTATGTGAGACGCAGTCTTGCCATACTCGCTTACAAGAAGCATTCTGGCTATACTTCTTCCAAGACAGATTTGTTCGTTCTTTTGGCAGTCCGTGGTGTATTCAATATACTTCACCTACACCACAATTCAAAGGCATCAATTCTTCGAGATTCCTTATTCATCGTCCAGCTTTCGCATGCATATGAGGCAAATGAAAATACCGTGGGTTGGGTCAGGCGTATCTCAGTCTTCAAGGTGACATTTTTGCTTTTCAACACTTTAAAGAGGACTTTTGCAGCAGATTTGCCCAATGCAATGCGTCTTTTGATTTCTTGACTGCTGCTTCCATGGGTGTTGATTGTGGATCCAAGTAAAATGAAATCCTTGACAACTTCAATGTTTTTCTCTGTTTATCATGATGTTGCTTATTGGTCCAGTTGTGAGGATTTTTGTTTTATGTTGAGGTGTAATCCATACTGAAGGCTGTGGTCTTTGATCTTCATCAGTAAATGCTTCAAGTCCTCTTGGCTTTCGGCAAGCAAGGTTGTGTCATCTGCATAACGCAGGTTGTTAATGAGTCTTCCTCCACACTTCAACAAACTTACAGACGTGCAGGGGGGTTGTTTTATAGGCCTGTCTAATCTTTGGCTGAAGGGTGAACCTTGGGAGTGACTTCAGTACTGAGTTAAGTGTGTCTGCGGGCATGCTCTCGGGGTTTCTCCAGTTTCTGTCACACCAATAAGTTTGGTCGTTTTTGTTAATTTGATGTTTTGTTCTACCTTTTTCTCCTGCTCTGTCTGGGACCCTCTGTTGTGATCCCAATCAGAGCAGTCAGTAGTGGTGGCCATGCACCATCTAGTTCTTCTGGTCTTAGGGTCACATAGGCTGTGGTTCATGAGGTCCATCAGTCCTTTGGACTAATATTTCCCTTGGGTCTTTGGTTTTCTTCATTCTCCCTTGCTCAAGACAGGTTGGGACCAGTGGAGTATCTTAGCTGGCCACCCACAAGCTTTTAAGACCCCACACGCTACTCATCAAAGTAGGACATAAAACATCTTCTTCATAAACCATGTGATGCCAATTGAGCTAGATGTTCCCTGAGACTATAGTCCTCAGCTCTCAGCCCAGTAACTTGGTCCCTCAGGGAGTCTGGATGTGTCTATGAAGCTTCTATAACCTTGCCTTAGTCAAGTTGTGCACACTTCCCCAGTATTGTGTACTGTCTTACCCTTCACCAAAGTTACCACTTATCTATTATCTACTTAGTGTTTTTCCCTCCCCCCACCACCTACCCATCAAAGATTGTTTCTTTCTGTAAAACTTTTCATGAGTTTTCATAACAATAAACAGATCGCCAGGTCTTTTCTCTTGCAGAGCAGCCAGTGGTTCCAACCCTGAGCTTTGGGCTAGCAGCTAGCAGCCTAGCCCTTAACCTCTGCAACATCGGGCTCCTTGGTGGTAGCTGTTAGGTTGGAATTTCTCATGTGCCATACAAATCTTGGTAAGAAAGTTTTGAATAGAGGAAGAAGGCAGATGAACCTGTAAACTGGTTAAGACTCATGGACAGGAGGACAAGGGGGGAGACGTTGACGGTTAGGTAGGTTCTAAGCACTAAGTATTAATAACAAGTTATTATTTGAGTGTTTATATACTACATCAGGAGTGCTTTACCTGTAATGTTAACTCTTTCCTCGCAGCAGCCCTACAATGCAGGCACTTTATTGTACTTTAGATGAAGGTTTACAGAACAAATAGTTGCTCATTAAACAGTTAGTACACATATTGTTTTATGACAATGGTTAACAACCCCACAACATGTCAACACTGTCCCTTCTCAACCATGGGTTCCCTATTACCAGCCTTCATGTCCCCTCCTGCCTTCTAGTCCTTGTCCCTGGACTGTTATGCCCCATTAGTCTCGTTTTGTTTTATGGGGCTGTCTAATCTTTGGCTGAAAGGTGAACCTCAGGAGTGACTTCATTACTGAGCTAAAAGCGTGTCCGGGGGCGATACTCTTGGGGTTTCTCCAGACTGTACCGGGCCAGTAAGTCTGGTTTGTTTTTGTGAGTTAGAAGTTTGTTGTATATTTTTCTCCAGCTCTGTCCGGGGCCCTCTGTTGTGATTCCGGTCAGAGCAGTCAGTGGTGGTAGCCGGGCACCATCTAGTTGTACTGTATTCAGTCTGGTGGAGGCCGTGGTAGTTGTGGTCCTTTAGCCCTCTGGACTAATCTTTTCCTTGTATCTTGTTTTGTTCATTCTCCCTTGCTCCCGGAAGGGTGAGACCAGTGGAGTATCTTAGATGGCTGCTCACAGGCTTTTAAGACCCCAGACGTGTAGGCATTATTTTTATCCCCATTTGAAAATGGGTAAACTAAGACACAGGTTAAATAACTCCCCCACGCTCCAGCAAACAAAAAAAACCAGGATTCAAACCCAGACAATCTGGCTACAGCGACAAGCTAGTAACTACTGTGCCCTACAGCCTGATAACAGCAATCCAATATGCACTGGTAAATCACTTCAACCTGGTGGTTGTTGGGGACTAGCTTCATCCTTGCGATGAGGAACTGGAGGGCCACAAAGATTGCGATTTAAGTCCATTGTGATTAGGTGGCTCCCCTAGCTGCTCGGGGACAGGAGTTGGGAACCCACGGTGGGAGAAACAGCCCCCGGTGACCCTTCCCTTCCAGCTGTGTCTCCCCGAGCCTCCTGGGCGCGGCACTGGGCCTCGATCCTTCACCACTGCGGCCTGGCCCCGTGCTAGCTCGTTTAGTGAAGGATCGACGAACGTAGCCAGAGACCATTAACGATCTCTTCGCAAACGTCCAGTCCAAGCCCCCCATCAACCGCGCAGCGGACGACCCTTCCCAACGTCCCGCGGGCGCAGGAAGTCCCGCCCCCGGCCCACGTGCACCGCCCCGGCCGGCTGGTCGCCGCCGGAAACGTCTGCCTGTCCTGCTGCCGCCGCTTCCTGGGCGGCACACCTCACCCCTCACTCACCAAGCGCCGCGCTAGGCTCCCGGACTACTACTGCGGTGCAGCTCCCCGCTTTGGGGATCTTCAGGCGGTTCCACGGCTCTGGCCCCGGCCGCATTGCGGCCATCTTGAGAGGCGGGGCAGGGACCGAGAACGGCGGAACTGGGCGAGACCAAGTTGAGCCAGGAAGCGGGGGAGAGGGGACGTCACCTCCCAGGAGGGAGGAGACAGGGGACGAAACCTCCCGGGAGGGAGGGGGAGAGGGGACGCCACCTCCCAGGAGGGAGGGGAGAGGGGGATGAAACCTCCCGGAATCCTGCAGCTGAAATAGGCTTGGGTTGGAGAGGGCCCAGATGACAGATGATCATCCAACCTCGGGTTACCAAAATCTGGCCAGTGCGTCAGAATCACTTGGGTTGTGATGGTTAATTGTCCTCTAGTCAGTTCGGACACAGGACAACCCCATGTGTGCAGAGTATACTTGTGCTCCATAGGGTTTTAAAGTCTGTGACCTTTCAGGAGCAGCTCACCAGGCCTTTCTTTCGAGGCCCCTCTGGGTGGGTCAACCTTTCAGCTTAACCATTTGTGCTAGCCAGGGGCCCTAGTCACTTGGGAATGCTTTGGAACTACTTAATCAGAATAACTGGGAATAGGATGAGGATTCTGCTGCCTGTTTTTTTTTTTTTTTTTTAAGTTTCCCATATGTGATTCTGAGACATAGCTGAGTTTAGAACCAGTTCAAGGCATCTTACTGATGTGGAAACTGAAGCTCAGAGTTGAATTGGTGCATGCATCTCCAACTCCCCCTTAGACTTGGGGGAAAAGGAAGAAATGAAATAAAAAGGCTTATGCAAGGTGTGAAATTGTGCCGAGAAGAACTGGTTTACTTTGTCTGAGGTGGTCGAGAAGGCTCCTCCGTATCCAGAGCAACAGCAGAGCTGCAGTCACATCACAGAAACCTGAAGCTCCTCTGACTCTCCATCTCCCCCGCCTGTTATCAGTGCCCATCATGTGTGCTAAGAGATGAAATTGGGGATCGGGTTGAAGGGTAAAATCATGGGCAGAATTTGGATTTTACCCTCATACTTTAGGCAGTTCATTCCACACTCTTTTATATCAACTACAAATCCTCCTCTATGGGCCCTTTCCCACCAGCATTTGCATGTAAACAAGTCTCTTGCATCTTAGGGAGGAAAAATGGCCTCCTCCTGCTTCAGGGTTTCTCCACTTGTCCTAGCTCTCTCTCTCTCTTCCGCTTTACAGCTAAAGTCTTTGAAATTCTAACTCCTTCACCACCTACTCACTTTTAGGCAATTTGGTTACCACCTTTCTACTACAATTACTTTATCAGTCAGTGTCCCAGCAGGACACAGAATCCATCCCTGATGGTTAAAACAAAGGAACTACTTCAGATATGTAGGCAGGGTTAGGGGTATAAACATGGCCTGGTGAGGCAATCAGAGAGTAGCGAGAGTGGGAAGCCATTATCATTCCTAGGGCTAAAGAGACCAAGGGAGGAAATAGTGAGAACTAGAACCAGGGAGAAGAGGACAGTGGGTGGAAACAAGTCATAGTGGGGTACAGCTTCTGCCAGAGATGAGGCACCAAAGCAGGGAGGAGGTGACCAAAGAGATCACACCCTCTCTTCTTTTGCCTTCTCCTTTGTCAATGCCTCCCATTGGCCAAACCCAACTGGAAGCCAGAGGCCAAGGGAGCTCAAGTGATAAAGTCTACAGGGCTTGTGTCAAAGATTGCTGCTGTTCAACAAGATCCATGGTCTCTTCTGGTACACAGATGGGCTGCTCTCCCAGCCTCTCCATGAATTAAATGTGGCTGTGCGACTGATTTCTTGCCACCAGATGCCATGTCCAGCCAGTGCTCTTTAAGAGGCACCTGTGCCTTCCACACTCTATCTTCCTCCGTCAGATGTTAGGGTGAGATCCTAGAGCATGGCAAAGCCACAAGATGAAATCACTGCCTGGAGGAAAGGCACTGCAGACCGGCATCACCTGCTTGGATTTTAGGTGAGCTTAAAATATATTACTATCAAAAAAGAAGTGCAAAGGGTTAAGTAATTAACACAAGGTCCCATGGCAAGTATTCAGTGGAGCTCAAATTTGATCCAGTCTGGCGTATTCCAGAGCCGACGTTACTGATCACTATGCTGTACTGCTTTTCTTATTCGATACTGAGTTTTCAACTCATTGCTTAATTGGTTGTCTCCACCACTAAATTACAATCTTTTTAAGAAAAGGGATCATGTATGCTTGTTAATTGTTGCTTCCAGTGCCTAGCAGGGTGTCTGGCATATAGTAGGTGCACAAAACGTATTTTTAAATGAATAACTTTGGCAACTTCAGGAAAAGAGACAGGTGGAAAGAATGAATGAAATAGTTATTGCCCTTTTCTTGCTTCACTGCTTTTGAGGAGGGGAGTGATAGTATTTTGGGGAGGAGGAAAGAAATCTCATATGTAAAGTTCAGAGGTTGATTAAGAATTGACTGTATCTGAACAGTTTTTAGTTCTTACATTCCAAAACACCTCTATGGGGAAAAGGCATTTCCATGGCACTAAATAGCTGTCTACAATTTACTTTCCTAACAAAAAGTATTCTTTAGGAAGAAGTTTCTAATTCTCTGCCACATAGAATAATTGTATGTCCAATCTTTTTCATCCTTTAATTCTCAATTCAGATGCCACCACTTCACCTACCCCCAAAGTTGAGACTAATCTCTTCCCTCTCTGAACTCGCATCTCACTTTATCTCTCACTGTCTTATGACACTGATCGTGGTCTGCCTTGGGCTTCAGACGTTCTGCACGCAAGTCCATGCAGGTGATGTGCATCTCCCATGGTGCTGGAGCATGGGTGCTCAGTAAATACTTGTTGAATAAAATAAATGCTGAATTAATTAACTCATGGATTTAAAAAAAAAAATGATTTGAACCAAGTACGAGTTTTGCATTGTTTTTTAAATTCATAAACTATGATCACTCTAGAAGTTACTAGAACACATTTAAAGATCAGCCACACACTTATACACAATGTGTTAATTTCCCATGCATGAGTCTCCAAAAAATGTCCTTGATTCTGAAAAATATTCTTTCATAGGATTTAATTGAAAACTTATGCTTCTACCTGGCTATACTTTTTGAGAATTTTAGCATTTCTAGGGCTTTAAAAATAAACTGCGTTTTCTTTTGAAATGTAATTTGCATGAAAAAGTCTTCAGAAGATAGCCTCTCACTTGCATTGAGGGACTCTCAGAAGGTATGAGACTAAAGTATGCTTCCTTTGAATTCCTGCAGTGAATTTTTACTTGGATTTTGATCTGAATTTGTAAGTATGGGTTTTAAGATTTGGAGTATCTAAGAAGTACAATTTTCCTGGGTCAAATGATGGTTTTCATTTTGTGGAAATGCTTGAGGATAATCTGACAAGAATTTTTTAATTATCTCAAGGTGCATAAAATGACAGTTCAGGAAAAGGAAGAGTGTGGAGAGAGAAAAGTCTTTGAACACACAGAAATAAGAATTGTATACAGAGCCAAGATGGATTCCAGGTCTCAGTTTCCTGAAGAGTAATAACCTCGTATGTCTTCAAAATGCTTAGCAGATATGGTGCGTGTTCTCCTGGCACCTTTCCCTAATGCACACTGCACAGCAGCCTTCCCCATCCACAGGGCAGACTGACTGCCTATGGCGGAAACACGGGGCAACAGGGATCCTTCATCACTCGTGGCCCAGCTCTACGTTTCCTGTTGACCATTCTGATTTCAGTGACCCGCACTGATTAAAAGACCTCAAAATGGATGACAAAGGCCCCATTGCTGTGAAATCCCACTCTTATAGAGCAGCAAATCAAACCCCGCTGATTTAATGGATCTTTTTCTAGTATAACATTTAGATTCACATTTTCGTGTAACTTAATTAGCTTCAAAACCAAAACCAGTTGCTGTCAAGTCAGTTCTAACTGATGGTGACCCCATGTGTGTCATAGTAGAACTGTCCTCCATAGGGTTTTCAATGGCTGATTTTTAGGAAGTATAAGGACAGGCTTTTCTTCCGAGGCGCCTGTTGGTGGACTCAAATCACCAGCCTTTCGGTTAGCAGCCCAGCGAGTTAACAGTTTGTATCGCCCAGCTTTAAGTGTAACTTATTCCCCCGTGGGCCTTTGCACGGACATTTTAACAGCACTTGCTCAGGAAACGAAAATCCCGCTCTTACTGACAGTTCCGGTGTTCAATACCTGGCTCTGCCACCAGGTGGCAGCAAGAGGCTGTACCCGATTCCCTCTCTAAGTTGGTCATTCTGGCTTCAGTTAGAAATCAAGCAGAGGAGCCTAATCTGCATTCCATGAGGCCGATGGAATTCAGGTCCCACAACCTAGAATGGAGACTAGTGGACTTATCCCCATCAGAGAAGATCCAGGTCATCAAGAAACAGCCCGCAGGTGGGTTACATGCTCATGATTTCAAGATTTGGTCTCTGAGGTGGAGTAAGGTCCCGTGACCTGATGGCCTACATTTGGGTGTTGTTAGGTCTGTGAAGTCTATTTTAGATTCATGGTGACCCAACGTGACAGAGTAAAACTGCCCCATAGGGTTTTCTAGGCTTCAAAGGAGCAGGTCTGGGCAGGAGTAGCATAACCTAAATTTACTTTAAAGGAGCAGACTCACCCGACACTGGGGATGGCTAAACGCAGAAAAGTTAATAATCAGATAATTGGATGTGTTTTCTCTACATTTAAGTTCAAATGCCAAGAATTAGTCCTTGGGAAAAATAGAATCGTTATTTCTACTCTTTGACAGCCTCGAGGCAGCATTTTTTAAGGTGTATAGGGATTTGGTAGCTTGTTTTGCTTTTTTCTCTCTTGCCGGTTACCTCCTAAGAGCTGGGCATGGATCAGTAAGTTCCCTCCACTGTGGCTGCCAGCAAGTCTGTGCCTGATTTGGCGAGTTTCTGAAAAGGTACCAGTGCCTTCTCCCACCAGGCCCTCCAATGAAACATAACACCCCAATGCTATGCCAAGGGACAGAGCCAAGCCACACATCAGTGTCTGCTGAGGAGCTAAGCCCCAAGCATCTTCAATGCCAAAATTGTTACTGGAATCTTTCAAGTGTTTGCTTTTGAGAGT